CACAGACAACCTCTCGTCAATATGCGTTTTTCGCACTGCATTGCTGCAAAAAACGCATAAAAAACGCATAAAAAGAATGTCGATAACAGTTGAACATATGGTGCAACTCGTCACTACAGAATTCTATGCTGACGCACTACATTCCCATCACAACAGTCTTAATTCACTGAGCATACTCTGAAGAGATTTTTCGACGGCACTGAAAAAAATGCTTCTCGGCAATACCATTCATTCAGCTGCACTGTCTCTTTGTACCAGACCTGCAAAAAGTGGGGATCTCATTCCATGTTCGACATCTACATGGTCTGAATTCATGTTTGTCATCGTAATTAGCATTGAGGCTAATGTGCTTGAAACTCACTGCTGTTGTTCACTGCTTCGTTTGAAAAATTCTTCCAGTTCTTTTCATGCCGCAAAATTTTAGTCACCAAAGCGCCACGTGATTCACATGTCTTGTTCCAAAAATCATCGAAATTTTTCAGAGTAAATTGTGGACGTGGTTCCATCCATAACAGCCTTAAAAAAATGTTTGTTCCACTGGAATCCGTGCTGCAGCTGGTGAGAAAGCAAAAAGCACTAGCCTAATAGAAAAGGGTGTAGAGTTACGACATTCATTCATCGTATATGCACTCACTGAGATCGACGAGCAGGGTATGTTGATGAGTGCAAAAGATATACCTGCAAAGCTGGCAAAAGCCCCAAGGTCGCTCGAGCTCATCGTGATTCCTGCCATCCAAAAATATGACTTTATATTCCCGTCTCCACTCAAAATATTCCCTAAAAAATTCTCTACTAGTCATCTGCAAACTACAGACTCCGAGAAACCTGCAGATCTTATAAATACGGCTTCTGGAAACCCCTGACAAATAATTCACTGCCATAGGTGGAGGGAGGGAGGAGAAGAAACATAAATGCGAGAAATCGCTGTTGGAGCAGAAATAATCAAATCAGTTGTGGAAAGCTAAGGCTGCAATTTTTGTACACACCAAAAGTATAAAGTGTACGACGGATTCCCGTTGTGTTATTAGTTAAGTATTTGAGTTTCCTCATTTCGTGCAATCGGCCAAAATGGTAGTTTGTGGTAACCTGGTACTTGCACGGTTTGTGAAATGGCGGTTCTGGATGACTGGGAAAGTAGGCAAATAGCAGTCTTACCTATAAGCAGACGTATTCCGCATCAAATATTCTAGGTAACTGGCTAACTGTCCAACAGTTTCGAAATCGTCCACAGCGATAAAGGAATGCGGTGGCACGTATTGCTCCACAATGGATCGCTTCAGGACAATTGGCACAACATTGTGCTGATAACCGTGCTTCCAAAGTTTTTCGGTGATATAATCGCGGCAGACCGAATTCTCAAATGCCAAATAAAAATGATAACTGAAAATGATAGACCTTTAATAATGGCATTTTAAGTATACTAACATTAGCCAGCCTGATTGCAGTTTCGGTTTGACCAGGATGCAGTTGTGTTGTATTTCACCTGCAGAAGTTTGCAAGGTGATTAAAAATTTTAAACTAAATTTTGTGGGTGAAACCAACAAGGAAATCGCTAAGCTTTTTTGTCAAAAATTCATTTAAAAGCATAAAACAACTGTACATTACCAAAGCAACTTCAGACCAGTGTCAGTGTGAATTGATACTTTGGGTGTTGCTTTTGAGGGGAAAGCGCATCAGACTCCAGACCTCTACAGGAAGGAATAGATATTTTGTCACTTGAACATTATTCCGGGAGTTTTTCAACATA